ACTGGACTACTCACACCATACATAAAAATAAACTCAAAATGGATTAAAGATTTAAATGTTAAGACCTGAAACCATAGAACTTCTAAAAGAAAAAACATAGGGACCATACTCTTTATTCTCTATTGTTCAGTTGCAAAGCTGTGTCCAACACTTTGTGACCCCATGGGCTGCAGCATGTCTTCCACTATCTCCTGGAGTTTGACCATTGAGTCGGTGATGCCATTCAACCATCTCATCCTCTGTCACCCCTTTCTTCTCCTGCCCTCGATCTTGCCCAGCATCAGTCTTTTCCAATAGAAAAGTCTCTTCCAGAATCTCTTCACAACAGGTAGCTGAAGTATTGGGAGCCTCAGCTTCAGTTCTTCTAATGAATATTCAGGGTTGATTTCCTTTAGGATTGACTGGTTTTATCTTAGTCTTCTGCACCACAATTTGAAAGCATCATTTCTTCAGCACTCAACCTTCTTTATGACCAACTCTCACAGCCATACATGACTACTAGAGAAACCATAATTTTGACTATATGGATCTTTGTTGGCAAAGTGATGTCCCTGCTTTTTTAATACACTGTCTAGGTTTGTCATAGCTTTTCTTTCAAGGAGCAAGTGTCTTTTTAGGGCTGCAGTCACCATTTGCTGTGATTTTGGAGCCCAAGAAAATAAAATCTGCTGTTGCCTCCCCTTTTACTCCGTTTGTTTGATGTCTCCTCAGGCAAAAGAAACAAAAAAAAATGAGACTACATCAACCTAAAAAGCTTTAACTCATTTGCACAGTGAAGGAAACTACCAACAAAATGAAAAGGCCACCTACTGAATGGGAGAAGGTATTTGCAAAGGATATATCTGGTAAGTGCTTAATGTCCAAATTTCTAAAAAATTAATTTAATTGGAAGCTGATTACTTTACAATATTATATGGTGTTTGTCATACAGTGACATGAATCAGTCATGTTAATGTCCAAATTAACTCATACAAGGACTTTCCTGGTGGTCCAGTGGTTAAGGCTTCATGCTTCCACTGTAGGGAGCAAGGTTTTGGTTCCCAGTTGGGGAACTAATATCCCACATGCTGTGCGGCAGACATTTTGCCACTGAAGTCATACAGGTAGCCAGACACACGAAAGAATGTTCAAAATCAGCATTAATCAGGGAAACATATGTAAACCAAAGCCACAATATCACCTCACACCTGCCAAAATGGCCATTATCATAAAGACAACAAGTAAATGTTCTCAAGGATGTGGAGAAAAGGGAACCCTCATGCTATTTGTGGGAATGTAAATCTGTGCAACCACTATGGAAAACTGTATGGATATTTATCAAAAAATTTTTTAAAAATGCTGTACAACCCAGCAATACCACTCCTGGGTGTTTATCCAAGAAAAGAAAAATCTCTAAATTGAAGACACATGCATCTCTATGTTCAATGCAGCATTATTTACAATAGCCAAGCTACTGTAACAGGAAGCAACCTGTATCCATCAACATACACATGAAAAAATGTATTACATATATAGAATAATTGTTTAGTCATTAAGTTGTATCCTCTGTCCATGGGATTTCCCAGGCAATAATACTGGAGTGGGTTGCCATTTCTTTCCCCAGTCTGCCTGCCAGATCCAGGGATTGAATCCCCATTTCCTGTCTCCTGCATTGGCAGGTGGAGTCTTTACCACTGAGCCACCTGGGAAGCCCATATACTCAACCATAAAAAAGAAAGAAAATTTGCTATTAGCAATGTGGATGAACTTGGAGGGCATTATGCTTAGTGAAATAAGTCAGACAAGTAATGATTCCACTTATAGGTGGAATTAAAAAAAAAAAAAAGTAACAGAACTTCAAGCTTGTATTTGCCAGAGGAGAGATGGGCATATGGAGATGGGTGAAATGGATGAGGAACATTAACAGGCACATAATTACTAAACAAATGAATTGTAGGCTTGAAAAAAATACATCTACTTGCATTTCAAAATGAATAGTTCAAATACTTGTATTTGACTTTTGGTATTTCAAAAATTACTCAAAATATACTTTCTCTATTGTTTAGAAATTTAGGGACTACATGTGCTATGCTGTGCTTAGTCGCTCAGTCATGTCCAACTCTGACCCCATGGTCTGCAGCTCACCCTGCTCCTCTGTCCATGTGGGATTCCCCAGGCAAGAACACTGACATGGGTTTCAATGGCCTTCTCCAGAGGATCCTCCTAACCCAGGGATTGAATCCAGGTGTCCAACCCATGTCTCCCACATTGCAGGCAAATTTATTGTCTGACCCATCAAAGAAACCCGAGAATACTGGAGTGGGTAGCCTATCCCTTCTCCAGGGGAACTTTCCAACCTAGGAATTGAATCAGGGTCTACTGCATTGCAGGTGAATCCTTTATCTGAGCTACCAGGGAAGCCTAGTAGGGACTATAATTCAGACTAAATTCTGAAATTTCTCATTTGAGAAATTTGTAGGCTTCTGAGGATAAGGCCTCAAATCTTTAATTTACATAGTAGATACAGTAGATAGTGTAGATTCCCCTGCCACGGTCTAAGACAACAAAGCTTAATACAGCAATGAAGACAAGTGTGCATCTCAGTTTTTACCTTGGAAAAGAATATTCATCACAGCTTCACAATTTCATTCCAGGTCTGGTTTTTTAACATTAAAAACAGACATTTCTCAAATGGGAAGGTCACTCAGGATGAGATTATCATCCTCCCAGAGCAAACTAGGAATGTCATCAATCCTCCATTTGCAAAGATAGAGGATAAGTTACCAGTTGAGCAAAAACCAGACTCCAAAATCCATATATTTACTTTTATTGAATTTGTTAATGACACATAGTTTTTGCACTGCCAAACCATGCCTGAGAATTCAAAGAAAGAAATGGTACAATGGACAGCCTCATCCACCCATCATACAGCATATTAAAACTTGATTCATGTGCACTTTGATAATTCCAATCTTTTAAAAAGTTGTAACAAGGGTTGGGATTTTTAAGTCTCCTTGCAGGTCTTTAGATTTCTATGCCATTAAATAACTTTTCCATATATTCATCTCTGTTCCTCAATAACATAACCCCCAACAAAATTTTGCTGGAAAAAATGCACTTTTCAGGGGAAATATGTGGCTCAAGGTTCAAGAGATAATTTGTTAAAAGATTTTTGGTTCCCAAATGAAGTCTTCAGATTAACCAAGAATCCTTTGTTTCTCAATCATCCAAACTCTCCTTGGCTGGCTCAGCTACTCACCCAAGCACATCAGAACATAGGCATCCTGCCTGTCACCTCAAGTAACTCCAACATTATTGCCCAGATACAGTTTGCAGGTCCCATCAGGTGATTCTGTTAGCTTCCCAGGAGTGGGATTCCTGCATTGACACTTTTATCAAGACTCAACTCCTAGAGGAAAATGCTCCCACAACAGGATAGTTTTACTCACCCATTTGCTTCACTCTTGCCAGTAGCAAGTCTGCAACTCCTACATTTGGCAAAGGGATTTTATTATAGAGAAACCCAGACTCTGCATCAAGTGGTCACATGCCACTTTGAAATATTTCTACTGAAGATACAAAACTAGGAAATTACGAGACTATCTCATTAGATGGAAAGACTTCTCAGTAATCCTGGGTAGCGTCCTGGTGTCCCTTTTCAGGACTAAAAATTACTGGATAGTTTAAGCTGTAATTATTAAAAACAGAAGTGCTACATCACCTGTCTTTTGCCCCTGACGCTCCAAATGATCAACTTAAAGACACACCAGAAGGTTGATACCAAAGCTAGGCTGGGACAATCACTGCATCTACAGAATACCTAACACCTTAAATGTTTGGGCACAAGTGCATCTGTAATTCTTGTCAAAGATCATGCAAGATCTGTGAAACTTAAGTGTGTTTCAGGTTGAGGTTCTGCTCTTACTGCTTTAAATTTGTTGTGGACAGGACAGTGATTCCCTTGGCCTGAGCAGAAACTAAACAAAGTCTTTCCACCAGTTTACTATACAATTTAGACCTGATTAGAGGAGGCTTTAGCAGCACCTGAAGTAGAGCCCCCTGCATTTACTGCCCTTTACATTAAAGGCCATTTGGTTCCACTCTAGGGATTGGCAAATTCATGAGATATTTCACAATTCCAATGTATACTTCAGGTTACTGAGCTAAGCAATATGCTCTGTCAAAGAACTATTCCAAGTGATAGCAAAAAAAAAAAAAAAGCCTTAATATGGAACACAGAAAAAGCATTACCCAAATAAAAAATTACTAAAAGAAATAAGATTTTTCCCTCCTACCCCTTTCCCCACTTGGTGACCCAAGTTTGGTTGAATTTAATTTGTGGTTACCTCAGAATACAACTCAAAGTTTTAAATTATAAGTCAGAGCCCTACAGATTATCCAAGCACATTAGTTCTCTTGAGAGCGGCATGTTCCAGGAAGTCTAATCCAGCCACAGTCCACCTCAGAGTATTCCTTATAGATGGGGCACAGGACAGGTTAATTAAGGTCACTTAAATCTTCATCTTTTACAGCAGATCAGAACCCAGATGGCTGACTTTCTGCAGGATTTCTGATAGGAATCCAGTAGAGCTGGTTTCAAGTTTCACATCGACACTTAATAGCTGTAACCTTCTTATCCAGAAGTTGTGATCCACATGAAGTCCACAATGAGTGCAGCAAATCTGAGGTAGTCAACCCTTACGAAGGCTCAGTATCTGAACATAAAAAGATTTTGATATGACCACTGGCTGCAGTTTTTTTTTTTTTTTTGTACTCGCAGAGTAATTATCAAAGAACACTGCTGAATCTAGTTCGAACATTAATATAACTATGAAAACCCCCCTAAATCCAATACACATAAAGAGCAGTTGTAACACTTAAACTTCCATAGTGCAACATGGTCAGTCACGTATACCAAGTAGTCTGCATCGGCTGTAGATCCAGCAGAGATCAGATGGATGGCTGTCCGTGGTGGTTAGCTGTGGTTTAGTTACCTTAGAAGGGTTAGGAAACACCATTCCTTAATTGTACTGTGTGTGGCTGCTTTTCTGATTCTCAAGCACAGCATACTGGTTGTCTAGCTGAAGTTTAAGGGCCTGGTTTTTTGAAAACTCATCCCTACCTCTAGTTTTGTGTCTTACTACTTCAAAGCTCTTCTCCATTTCTTTATCCCTAAGGGAAAAGAAATGTAATCAGTAAATATTTCTTCTTCACTAGGCTGTTCTGAAAATATTCTTTAATTAAAATAAAAAAGCCACCCCTTGGAAAAATCTTGAGGAAGGGATAAGAGGGGGAAACTGGTGCGTAAAATCCTTATCAAAACCATTTTTAAGGCTTCAATTGAACAGAAAATATAGAATACTGTACTGAAGCTCTATGGTCATATTTTCTGTGGTAGCAATTCTACCAAATACTATTAACTGAAATCCTGTTCTGAGACCAACTTCAAGACAACTGCAAAGTTAAAAAGCTGTCTAATGGCATGGTGAATCCTTCTAAGACTCACTTTTACTCTTAGCAAAAAAAGGACAATACATCTCTTTTTTTTATATGTAAGTAAGGGCAACAATTTTCTCATTCAAGTAAAGTTTTACTCATTATTCAAAGACTTCTCTGCACTTCTACTTTTATGGGAATGGATCAGATAAAGATGAGTGTGGTGAATCAGCGCCTTGTGTGTAGGACAGAGCAAGGTCAGATGTTTAGATTCAAGTCAATTGTGCCCTCAAAGAGGCAAAAAGGCTAAGATTTAATTTAAAAGCCACTCCCCAACAATTCCATATTATGTCATTTACATTCTTCCTATTTTATTTACTTAAAAGAAAAAATCATGTCCCTATATAAGATGTGGATGTCCCATATGTGGTCACTTAACTCCAGGTAGCATTCATTTAAGTATTGCTGAAATAAGATTATTTTTAGTATTAGATATATAAATGTCAACATCTTTCATCTATTCACATTAACTGGGAATACAATAAAATATTGCTGATTTCTCAGGAACGCTGAAGCAGCAATAATGTACCTAATACTTATTAAAAATTCTAACTAGGAAGACTTCTCATGGCTACAGAATGACATAAACTAGGGAAAAGAACCTGTAGAAGATGTCTGTCTTTGGTGCTCTTTCCCCTTAGCCCTTCCAGGGTTCTTCTTCTCCTCCCCAATTCCTGGGCATATAACACCTACCCTAATTCTCAATTACCTCTCAGCTGCAACCTGGGCTTTACTGCAACCCCCAAGGTGGGTTTTCAAATATCAAACACCCCATTTTCTGGCCAAGGCAAAAGGTTTCAAAACAAAATATTGAGAATACTTACTTCCGGCTTTCTACATGCTTGGCAGTGGACTGCAGGGATGGGAACTGCGTGTCACTATAGATTTCCGGTGGTCCTTGTGGTGCTTTCCTTGTTGTGGTCAACCTGGCTCCAGGAGGCCTATACACGCCACTAGTCATTGTCGGTTCTGGGGTTTCTGTAACTGACGTTTCGTAACAGTTTAGAGAAACCACTCAGTGCCTGGCATTTTAACAAGCTACTCCTGAATGCTTGATCATTTAACAATTACGGAAAAAAACCCAATATTTATTTGCATTAAACATCTTTGAACAACAGAAAGAAAGAAAATTATCTGAGATATTCCCCTTCTGAGAACTCATTCTTCAGACTGAGTAAAATGGGAAAAGGAAAAAAAAAAAGATGGGTACTTAGTCAGCTGTCAAAAACCGAAAAACAAACAATCCAAAAACCTTGAACATGTCTGGCAAGCTATAGGATCACTATAGGATTACTCTAAGACTTAAGCAGCCTACAGCCTTAACTTCCAAATTCCTTTACTGAAGATATGAACATGTTTACATCAGACACAAATCTCTCTCTCCTAGCAACTGAAAGAAGACCCTACTCACTGCAAACATGCATTTAGTTGAAAGCTGACTGCCTATAAAATTATAGACAAATAACACATCTTTATGAAAATGAAATATTAAGATTACCAACTACTGGAGCAGGAGGTGCTTGTACCGGAGCAGTTTTATTCCAAGGGCCTGAAGATTTTTCTACACCACCACCACCACCTCCACCTCCACCTTCTTCCCAATTATCACTTGGATCTTCTCTTTTTTCAACTTCATCTTCTTCCTTTTCACTATTGGAAAATAAGTACATGAATTCAATTACAGAAACAAGATTTTTGTTTGGGTCCTGGGGGACAGGCCTCATGAGGGATACTGAAAAAAATTAAGCACCTGAGCAGTCCAATTTTCAGGTGGAAAATCTGTCAGTCCAAATCCTTAGTTCTATCAATATTGATCTGTGATTCTGGAGAAGGTACTTAACCCTCTTCAAGCCCAAATGCCAAGCTCGTCTTTTTTTTTTTTTAAGGGAAAGGAAGAAACAGCGAATTTTATTTTATGCATTGGGGCCTCAATTTAACTTCATGTCAAAGAATTCATCACTGGCAAAAGTTCATAAAACCAATGACAGTCTCCATTTCCCTTTCTGCAAACTTCATACAGTCAAGAACATCTAGAAATATTTAATGTACTAACACATCAACTTATAACAATCTACACTGATTACTTATAGGAGTCCCTACTGAGGCAGGGAAGAAAGGTCAATCTAACCTGACATGTAGAGAAAAAGAATCAAAAGTACAATTACTAGATTTTTTTCTGGAACCAAAGTGTACAAACAGCCATTTATAGTAAGCATATTTTGATATCAATTCAGATCAAATGACTTGTTTTTAAAAGTTGTCTAGGATTTCATTTGCTAATCCTTTAGTACATGTAACAAAATACTCTCAAAATTCACATTCCAACAGAGGAAAACAAGTTAGTGTTTAGCATCAGTCCCTACTATCCAGACATAGGGAATACACAGAACTGGTTCCTAATAACAGAGATGTCTCACCCATTTAAAGAAGAGAATACAAGAACTCAGTCTTTGGCTTGCTACTAATTACAAATGCAAAATACATCCTCAGTGGTGACATACCATTCTAAGATTTTACTTAATGCCTCTTTTTATCTATTCTTGAATTAACTTGAGTCAGAAGCGTATAATCTCTCTAAGGTATCTTTGATGTCTCCTTGTATTAGATTACTTATTACTGTTATGTAAACCTGAATGTGCTAAATTAACAAGTACATATAGCTTGTCTTTCTATTCCACTGGCTTGACAGCACAAAGATAACTGCCAAATCAAACTTCCTTTGTCCCTGCAGATGATGCATCTGGCACAGACACCACCTTTTCCCTGGATTATTTTCCGTGACACTAGTGGTGTTTCCTAGGTCTTCAGTTTATCAGTCTCCACCATCAATCTAACTATCCTTTCCTCTATTAAAAAAAATACTGTCCTTGACCTCCCACTCTTTCAGGCATTTTCTCTTTTTGATGGCTGATCCATGATGGTCATGATGTGCACATGACCCCTACCCAAATGTGACCTTGGGAACATAAGGGCTTCTCTTGGTTTTTGCAAAATGATATCTTAGGGTGTTAGCCTTCTCTGTCTATTAAAGTAAGTTCTGGCTATACGACAAATTTCTTGAATTGCTAATGGTCTCCTTTAATGACACGGAGACAGTGGTACCATGCAACACTCCCCACCAACCAGAGGTAACTGCAGAATTTAGAGGCCAAGGGTGGCAACAGGAAGGAAAGCGGAATGAACTTACCTTCAATCTGCATTTACAGCAAGATTTTACTTAAGACTATGGTTTGAGAGGAAAAAAGGGTGCAGAGTATGGCTAAGCCAGCCTTCAATTTTCCTTGTTGATAATATGTAGTAGAATACCATGCAGTCATTTAAAATAATGTTTTAGGCTTATACTAACATGGAAATAATTATCATTTCATATAAACAATGTACTAAAACAAAATCTATGTACCTAACATAAATAAAGACATCTAGAATGATTTTTTAGCTAAATGTTAAAAAGTGGGTGCTAGAATGCATGATTTTATTTTCTTCATGCAGTTAGGAGCAGATTCTAAGGCCAAACTGCCTGTTCAATACATGCAGACTCTGCCATTTACCAGCGAGAAAGAGTAAGGATGGCACCTAACTTCTGTATGCCTCAGTCTCCTCATGTGTAAAACTGAGGATAACAACCCCATTATGAAGACTGATTAACAGACATAAAGCCCTCAGAACAATGCCTGGCACAGAGTAAGTGCCGTCAGCACCTGCTATTACATGCTTTTTTAATATTTGAGTTTTCATAAAAGTGTCACATTCCTTTAACAGGAAAAAAATATAGCATTTGGAAAAAACAAAAATGCAACAAGAAAACGTTCTTTTAAAATGGATATCAAGCAGTATGACCTTCCTAAAGCTTTTAAGCAGAATGAATAGGTAAGCGTATGAATGTCATAGTTTATCCAGGAGTCTAACAGTGGTACTCAAGTGTCAAAATTGTCCCAAAAGAAGTTTTTTTTAAAAAGTTACCCACTTCTGAACACATACCTATGTAAATTACACTATAATGTAATTTGGGCTATTAATAAAAGCACAGGTGTTATTCACTTAGCTATAATGACTAAGTAGTTAGTAATGTCCTAGCGACCCAATCCATGCCAGATGGGGATATAAGAGGCTCACAAAGATTTAAGTGACTTTATGGCACTTTATACTCTAATATCCCCCCAAACTATGATAGCTTTCATTTGGTCAGTTACATTTTGAAATGGTTTTTCATGCACTGAATCACAATTGTTCACATATATGTATAACTCTAAAATAGCGATTTCCTTAAATTATTTTAATATTTGGTGATTAATAATTTAAATTCCAAAATTATCAGCTTGTAATAAACTGAAAGCCAAAAAAATGTTAACACTGATCATCCCTTGAATGTGTCTTTATGCTGTCTTTTCAAATGTTCTAAAAACCAAAAACACTTGTTTCCCTAATCTGCAAAAAAAAAAAAAAAAAAAAGAAAAAGAAAAATTCCAATTTAGTATGATAGAATGCTGAGAGTCTTCATCACTTTTTTCACTCTGAGACAAGTGACAGAAATTTTAAAAAATTTAAAGTTTTAAAAAATCCCACAAATCCTAAATACCTCCAAAGTATAAACTACACTAGAAAATAAGTGATAATATTTTCATTAGAGGGATTTTATATTGATAATAGGCACAAGACAACTTAGTATTTTGGCTTCATAAGATTCTGAAATATTAGCTAAACTTAACACTGGAAATTGTCTAGTTGAGACACTTCATTCAAGAGGGAAATAAGGCCCAGAGATGCTAAGAGCCTTGCCGAAAAGCCACAGTACCAACAGCAGGACAGAAATAATTTAAATATCGTATTACTCTTTCATACTTACGTATTTCAGAAAATGTCAAACCTCCAAATGTCAAAGAACAAAAAACATGTTACAAAGAATTATTTCCACAGAAGACAACTAGGCTAAAATTTAACATTTAACCCAGTATACAGCTTCTCATCAGCTAAATTTGATGCTTTAAAAACTACAATGCCACTATAAATTCATCATCACAACTCAAAGTATACTGTCTTAAATATGCTTTAGTCTATACGGCGCTAGTGGTGGGGTAGGAGGAATGATAATGCTAGAAAAAGGAGTATTTACTTAGTATCTCTATACTCTGCCAGGCAGTGTTATACCCACTTTACAAAGCTAAACCTCGAAATAACAAAGATGGGGAGAAGACCCATTGTACATATGAGGAAACTCATGTTCAGATACTTAAAGGACCTTCCCCAGGGTTACAAGGTAGCAGGGTCAAGTCAGTGGGACTCCAGAGCCCATATTCTTTCAGGCTGCCTCTCACTTCATTTTATTGTCTTTATAGCTCTGAAATATGATACGAAAATTTTCTATATTTTCAGATTTGATAAACTCACTTTTTTGAAGTAAACTGATCAGGATCACAAATGCTACAGCAGTATATTTATAAAAAACATAATTTTTTACCTCCTTACCTCAAGGGACATTACAGAATTTAAGCATCCTATCTCCCATCTTCCAACACTAAAGCAGCTTAACACAAAATCCAGACTTGACTGTACTTTTGCCAGTAATAATGGGCAGCTCCACTGGTTTTATGCAACCACTTCCATGACAGTAAACTGGGGAGACAGTAAACTGCCTGACGTGTCATGCCTGGCAGCTTAAAATGTCACTGTACCCTATCCAAGGACTCTTTCTCAGCCCCTTCATGGCAGATATAAGCGTCTCTCTCCTGGGCTCCATCCACAGCCTCTACAAATCACTGAAACAACCCACAGGTGTTCAGCTGAGCGTGAGGAGTTGTTGTTGTTTTATAACTCCAAGACCTAACAATCAATGCCCGGACATCAAATATTTTCTACAATGAATCCAGATTGGATGCTGAAGTAATTTCTTCTCTTCAAAGGACAACTTAACTAGTTCTACCTAACTGGTTTAAGTCTAGCTGTCCAAAGATTTCTAGACAACCACTGGGCTCATGTTACTGAAATATGACAAATGCTCACCATTTAGTAACAAGTAGTAAATGAAATCTTTCTCCCTCAAATCCATTTTAAAGAAGGGAAAGGCCTATAGGTCCTAATAATAATAACCAATAATCTAAGCTTAAGCACCATGCTCTTTCTTTTATCTCAATGGCTTCCCTCTCAGAATCTGTCTATAAATAATGACGCAATCCTGAATAAGATTTATTAACTTAGACACAAAACTTGACATGTGACCTCCTACTACTCCTGGTACTTAAATCTTGACCTAGTTGGTAAATGTGAGCTAGAATGTTAATACAGTATGTCTGCCACTGCTGAAAACTTCTCCTTTCAATTGCACTTAACTTCAACAGTGGTTGAGCATGCTAACTTATTACGACTAGTGCCAAGAACTTTTAAGACTGTATGCAGCTAATTAAAGAGAAAGCAAATGTGGCAAAAATGATTGGTAGACCTCAGGCAAAAGTATAAGGGTACTTATTCTACTATTCTTGCAACTTTTCTGTGGTTTGTAATTTTTCAACACAAAAGTTAGAAGGAAAAAAATTAAGACTACACACAGAATTTCAAGATATTTTAAGTCAGACTACACACAGAATTTCAAGATATTTTAAGTCAATTTCTAAAGTTTCATTTTCTCTTGTCCCATATTGAAAGGCTGCCTCTCTCATGGATAGGAAAGATGACAAATTAAAGGCATAACCACCCCCCTTCAATATCCGAGGAGAGAGATATTTCTTTTCTCTCTCCTTCCAAGGGCTTCTTCACCATTCAAGAACTCCAGCAACTCTGAGGATTTTTGTTTGTATGATTATACTATTGCCAACCTGAAATGGCATGTTCTCCTATTAAGTCCATAGTGAACTGACTCACCATCGTGCACGTGTGCTCAGTCACATTCAACTCCTTGTGACCCCATGGATTGTAGCCCGTCAGGCTCCTCTGGCCATGGGATTCTTCAGGCAAGAATACTGGAATAGGTCCTTCTCCAGGGGATCTTCCCGATAGAGACTGACCCAGCATCTCCTGTGTTGGCAGATTCTTAACCACTGAGCAATCTGGAAAGCCCACTGACTCACCAGCCTAGGGCTTTAGTCATAAAGTGTCTCCACGACTCCTTCAAATATTGGAATTATAAAGCAGATGCTTCATGGCTAAACAGCAAAATTTCCAAGAGTAAATCACTCTACCCACTAGATAGAGAAGTTGATTAACATGAACCAAGCGGATATATTATGAACATCCTGTTCAAAATCCTCACAACAAATCTGAGCAGTCATCTCAATTCTGCAGGTAAGAACATTCACAAGTAAAGTAACAAGGTCACACATAAGCAGCAGGGCTACAATGCAGGCCCAGCTTTGTCTTTCCCTAAGTCCATGTTTTTGCTCTATTATCAACTACATCCTATTTGTGTGAGTAACCTACTTTCCATTCTATTGAACCAATGTGTCTTTCCCTGGGGATTTCCACTCCTACTGGAATGGGTTGCCATTTCCTTCTCCAGGTTGTCTTCCCCACCCAGGGACTGAATCCCCATCTCTGCACTGGCAGGAGGATTCTTTACCACTGAGCCACCTGAGAAGCCCCAAATTCAGTATAAAGTTAAAACTTTCAGTTATTATTATGAAACCTCATAATTATTATTATGAAAGCTTCTCACTCTCAAGCTTTTCCTGGAAACTTACGTATTCCCTTCTATAGATTTATGAAGGCAACAGAGATACACCCCAGACTACATAATGACTAAGGATCCACAAAAGCAGCTTCCTTCAGGAAGAAGGTATGTTTTTCAATGTTAGCAGGTAAGAGAAAGACCTTTGCATGGCCACTAAGTGGCCATGACTAGATGCTAAAAATGTAAAATGCAGTATAAAAGCTGCTCTATTTTGGGTCAAGCAAACCTCAATGCTCACACTAACTGAGATTTAATTACGCCTCTGGCAAAAGTGAAAGACAGAGGTGATTTAAGTAATGTTCCACCATCTCAGGAGTAGCCAAAAATGAAGAAAAATAACCGTGAATGGATATGGGATATATAGTCAATGACAAAAATAGATGGTAGTTTAAATATCCTGTATAACAACATCAACTTCTAACATTCAATGAACTTGAAACCTCTTCCTTCAGAAAGTGCTGCTCTTGCTCAGTAGTCGAGTCTTTGAGAACACACATTTCACGGCCTGGCAATCAGGAAAGGCAGAGCAAGAGCCTACTCTACCACAGAACACAGGAACCCAACACACAGCGCTTCCACTACTACAAATAACACTCCACATCCCTCCTCCCCATTTATAAAAGCCAAGTGCCAGGAGAAAGAAAATGGATTCTTTTCTAAATATATACCTCTTCAAAAACATGTAACACACGAAGGAAGCCAAAAAGTAGTTGGGAATAAACCTCCAGTTTTATCACCTCTACTTCACACCACCAGGAAGGTATTTCAAATTTACAGAAACTATTCCCTAAGTTTCCCACTGTCAATCCGGTTTCACTTTGCAACAACTTGAAAGCACCTAGGACATGAATGCCTAGCTGTGCTAAGTATTCAACAAATGTCATAAACATTAGCCCTGCTTTTTAAACAAGTTATTTAACATTATAAACATTACCATCTAGTGAAGGACTGATGCTGATACTCCAATACTGTGGCCACCTGATGTGAAGAATTGACTCACTGAAAAAGACTCTGATACTGGGAAAGAGTAAAGGCAGGAGGAGAAGAGGACAACAGAAGATGAGATGTCTGGATGGCATCACTGACCTGATGGACATGAGTTTGAGCAAGCTCCAGGAGTTGGTGATGGACAGGGAAGCCTGCAGTCCATGGGGTCGCAAAGTCAGACACGACTGAGCGACTGAACTTAACTGAGTGAGGTCAAAGAACAGTATTCTGTTAAGGAAAAGTTATTTCCTCCACTGTGCCAGGTGGTCATGAGTAAATATAAATCACAAACTTCAATCTGGAAGGCAGTGCATCAGGGTCACTTCTTTTTTGGCCACACCACATGGTATGCAGGACTAGTTCCCCAACCAGTAAAAGAACTTGGGCTCCTAGTAGTGAGAGCACTGAGGTAATTCCCTAGGATCACTTGCTTCTTGAAACTGGGAATAAACGGTTTTTAATCTAAGCCAATGGATTTTTCCACTTCATGAAAACTTCAAAAACATGACATTTATTGACATGAATCTAAAGTTCATGTGACTACCATAGACTGGATTTGATAAAACATGTTAATTTCAAATCTTCTAAACCAACCAATGTAATTTTCAGGAATTATTGTTTTCTTAAAACTTTATGCTTAGACTATGATTCCATTTCTATAAGTTTCTAGGGAAAATTAATCTATAGTGTTAGGACAGTGGTCATTTGGGGGTTAAAACAATGACTACAAGAGGTTAGGAGGGGGGCTTTCTTCTCTACCAGTAATGTTTCCTTTCTTGACTTCCGTGCTGATTACACAAGTTGAATAGGTAAAATCTGTATTTCCCTCTAACTATGCTTCAATTACAACCACCCATGTTATCTTTTGAGACAAAAGCTAAGTTCAACCCACCCACCAATAATAAAAGCAAACATTCCGAAAGCACAAAATCCATTTTAGCTGTTTCAAAAAGGCCTAACCAAGACTCGAAGTAGGCAAGCTCTCACAGGATTTTAGAACTGGCAGCTAATTTGACTGGCATATAAAAGGGCTGCCACCACAGAGGAGAAATAGACTCTATCCATTAGTCGTAATAAGCATACCTAAAGCACAAGAGTACTGTGATGCTGTTTTGGGACAAAAAAATCCCAAACATACAGTATTTATCCGGTGGGTGACATAAACGTTATCTGTAACCAAACCATACCTTATTTGCATTGCTTGAACTCTTAGGCCGCTGTAATCAACCTCTTTTTGCTCAAATTCTTTCCACTCATCTTCCTCCTGTAAAACAAGTACCAGGTAGTCAATTAAAGCTATTTTTAAAACACACCTAAAACAACCATCAGACTATTAAGAAGGGATCAAGTGGCTGGAACCTAAAGTGTGGACTCGTTTTCTGGCCAAAGCCCTTGTTCAACCCCCACTTGTTTAAAAAGCAGGGCTAATGTTTATGACATTGGGGTTTGGCTTGAGGACAAACGTGATTAAACTTTGTTACTTCCACCCGGTTCCTTCATGAGACTTGTTACTTTAAAAGCAACCAGGAAACATCGGATGAAGTCAATAGTAAGCCCATAACTAAACGTCTACCTCAATCTTGTATGAGAGTTTTCTTTTACAGGTTTCCAGACCAAGTCGAGCCAATTAGATCTGCCACAAATGTGACTGTTAGAAAATGCAGTTCACACTACTAGGCTGAAATAAGAACGCTAAATTACTCAAGAGTAGACGTCACCCGATAGAGGTACTTCCGACCCGGGCCGATTCCCCGGGAGGGTGCCGCAGCCTGCCTGCGTGCTGGCCCGAGCCAGGCGACGAGGGTCGGGAGCAGGGCCGCTGTGGTCCGGCGGGGAACGCGAGGCGGCCCGCCGTGGGAAGCCCGCGTCACGTGGCAGCCTCCGCGCCCGTCAGCCCGCCGGCCGGCCCCGGCCGCTTCCCCAGGCAGGCAGGCGGGGGCGGGCACATAGGCGCAAGCGCGCGGCCCGGGCCCTAACTCCCCGGCCCCTCACCTTTGTCACAACCTTGGTGGCGGCCCCAGGGCCAGTGGCCCCCACGCCCGCGGTCCCGCTATCGCCCGGCCGGTTCCCCGCGCCCGCCCCACCGCCCGCCGCGCCCGTGGCTCCGCTGCTCCCGCCAGCGCCGCCCGCCGCGCTCGCTGCGCTCGCCGCCCGGTTGCTCCGCTCCTTCTTCTTCTTTTTATCTCTCTTGGCGAAGAAGTTGTCTAGGCTCCGCTCCTCCGTCTCAGCCATGGCCGCGGCCTCCTTGGCCCGGATGGGTGGGGCCGGCGGCGGGCGCGGCCCGCCGGGGCTCCGAGCTCGGGGTCGAGGCCGGCTCGGCGATCAAGCTTCCAGGCGCGGCGACGCCTCAGTCCTCCGGGGTCGCTGAGGCGTGTACAGCGGGGCGACCGGCCCCCCCCCCGCCTGCTGGCTGACGGTGGTACGGTCCTCCTAGGGGCTCGTGTGCCGCTGCCGCCGCCCGAGCCCGCCCGGGCTGGAGCTGCTGCCGCGATCGCAGTGCAGGATCCCGCCCGCTCCACAGCTGGAGGGAAAAAGGAACGCGCGGGCCAGAGGCTCCGGCGAGAGTGCTGGGTTAGCGGCGGCGCGTGCAGGAGGAAGACGCGAGCACGCAGGCCGGGAGAGGAGGGGATAGGGGGTGGGGAGGGGAGGGAGGGGGAGGAGGGAGGGCGGACCACCAGAAAAGAGAGGCAGCGCCCGCGCCTGCGTACTTAGCTCCGCCCTCCACTGTGGGAGCGTGGAGGGGAGGGCGGTGAGAGGAGACGGAGGCGGAGCTGGTAAGGGAGCCAATCAGGTGCTAGGACGAAGCGCTTAGGCGACAATCCCTGCCTTAGACGGGGCGGGGCTGTGGCTTGGGGGCGGGGAGAGGGTATATGCTAAATAAGTGACGTACATGATGGCTTTTGCCTCCTGATTGGTCGAGGGTTTAGCCTTGAGGGCGGGCATTTAGAGGGCTTGTTGGTGACTTGGCTAGAGAGGTCCGGTCGAAGGGGCGGGTAGGTCGGTTTTAGGCGCATGCGTAGGGTACACGTGTGTCTGCTAGTCCGCCGCAAACTGTGGCCTTGTAGTGGTTTGAACTTCAGTGAGACTGAAAGGCCCTGTGCTAAGCTAGCTCTGTAAAGATGGTATCGTCTGCTCCGCTGGCCTCTGTATTTTCACCCTCTCTGGTCTAGCAACTATTCATTTTATTCATAGGTAATGATTATTATGAAAATGAGGTGCTTTGGGCTTGAAGTTTAGTTCTTATTTACTAAAAGGTCTACATAAACCAGTAGGTAGTCAAAAGGAGATTGGTTTTATCTGAATTCTACTTTCTATGAGATAGCTAGAAATAGGTCAAGCTAAATCTGACCCTCAAGCTCCTGATCTGTAAAGTGGAGACGTTAGCTCTTGCAAGATATGTGGGGAAAGATTACCTCTTAGCTGCCAGCACATTACTTAACACACATTGTGCTGTGCTAAGTCGCTTCAGTCGTGTCTGACTCTGCGACTTCATGGACTGTAGCTGCCAGGTTCCTCTGTCACTGTAATTCTCCAGGCAAGAATACTGGAGTGGGTTGCCATTTCCTTCTCCAGGGATCAAACCCGTGTCTCTTATGTCTCCTGCATTGATGGGCAGTTTCTAATACACATTAGATGCTATAAATAATTTTACATGTAAATAATACCCCCTACCCTGATGAGATGATGGCTGTAATCTATCTTTTTTCTCCCTGATAAGAGGAAAGGAATGGCATATATAGAAGTGGGGACCAAATGTGCCCAGACTGTACATGGTTGTACCATTTAAGTACTTTCTGGGAGTTGAGGATGAAATGAATCCTCCCATATGAAAAAGGCGGTCTAATAAAAGGTGTTAAGCTTTCCACTTCCTCCTAAAGACACAACCACTGAGGAAATGACTCAGAGTTATGTTAGTAGCCTTGTAGGGTAGATAGAGCACAGCCAATACATGGAGGTACTTGTCTTTTCCTTTACAATTTTTCTGTTAAAGTCTGTCTCCCCTATACCCCCTTCACCTCTACTATTAAAGTACTAAATCCAGAATATGTCAAAGAAGCAAATCAAGGAGCTGGCCTTTGTCAATAGCAAGCTTCTGTTTAATTCCCTATACTGACTACCTGGATGGGTCTCTAGGTAACTTCCTTCTGTGACACCAGGCATCTTCTTGTGATGCAAGCCAAGTTCAGTATTGTCTCTCCCCTACCTTCCTTAACATCTCTGATAAATTTTTCTTCCCTTCTTTCCCTCCTTCCTCCCCCATCCCTTCCTTCCTTTTGTTCTTTCTTTCCTCACCTGTGAAACACCTATTTCATTATATTTAAGGCAATGTGGTTTATTCTAGGCAAAGTAATTTGTCATTCTTGCCTTCAACTCCCTTCTAATCTACAAGAAAAGATCTAGATATGAATAAATGAAATTTAGCCCTCTCTTTCTTAGATCTCCATCAATGTATCAGTGTGTCTTGAAGGAATTAATGATGGGAAAAAGCAGAGAAGGAACAGCAGCTGCAGCAAAATTCCCCACTACATCTTCCAGTGATTGATGGCATGTTCCCCAAACTTGATCATATGTAAAAGACTCAGGTCAAGCCAATAGAGACACTAGGGTCTTTGTGGTTGTGTCATTATCTATAGTTAATTCTCTCCTCCAGGAATCTAGTCTCCCCCTCATTGAATCCCCTGACCTGAAACTGACAGCATATATTCATATCAGATTTTCCTCTTAAATCTCCTGTGCTCCCTCCTCTGATGTGTTACACAGAGCCTTGAAAGTTACCCCTTATCTTCACCCCACCCCTCATCATGAAGCACCATTCATTGCTCTCATGATGTTTGGACCTTCACCATCTTTAAAGCAAAACAGACCTTCATGTATACTTGGTGGGTGGATTGTTGAATAGTGGTGAGAACTTGAACCATTACCAGGTATTTCAGCACATCTTCTAAGGAACCTAATGCGTCTGAATGTGAAAATTTCTCTCTTGAGTCCTCTGAAGTGGTACAATCCAAAGGACGTCATCTGTCTCCCCCGACAAGGCTAGCTGAGCTTCAGTATTCCATGAGCTCAAGAGCTGGCACAGGGAAGCTGGGCCCAGCCCCATTGTCCCTGGGTTCTTTTTTGCTGAGCTATTCATTCCAAGTTCCATTCTGCTACCTAGGCTGGAAGTTCCACACATGCTCAGCTCAAAGGAATGCAGCTCCTGCTAGCCAAAGACTTCCCAGGAAATGAGGAACAGCTTTTCATTTGTGACTTCCTCTCTCAGAAATCTGAGGGACTGAGCTACTTCCTGGGCTATTCCATTAATGACCTTTTCCAGTTGGGGAGTAACTACTTTCAGATCACCTCCTCTGGAGAAAAACTACTGCTGATTTCTACAGGCAGTCTAGTTCCTGACCTTTAAAGGCCCAGAGACCTTTTGTGGTATGGGTATTTGATGCCTTCCTTATATTTCCATGATTTGTTTGTTGGTTAACCATTCATCCATTCATTAACTCATTCATTTATGTAAAACATTTATTTCATGAGCACCTACTGTATGCCAGGCCTGATGTTAGCAGTTAAGTGTAAGTCAGGTATAGGCCTTTCCCTCACAGAGCTTACGGTATGATAAACTGGTAATCAGAAGCACACAAGTATACATACAATTATAACACATTGAAAATATAATGGGGCAGGGCTGGAGCATAGCCATTAGCGACTTGATTAGAGATCCATTCCACCAACAGTCAACCTCACAGTGGTCCTCATGGCAGAGAGAGGGGGATGGCTGCTTTCTCCCTGACCTCAAGCACAAAGGATCTGCTACCAAGAAGTTTATAACAGCCAACTATGCCCTTCTCTCCCTTTTTCTATGAAAGAGATTTGCTGAAAGCTTTCAGAAGTTTGGAGTTTTTAAGGCATGAGCCATCCATCTCCTTTCATGTCCCCACAATAAACCTTTGTTCCCAATGCCGACATTTTGGTGTTGTTTTGCCTCACTATGTGTTGGGCACAGGGACTCTTGTTTGGCAACAAAAACACTTGAAGGTAGGAATGGGGTTGGGCGTACAGCCTACATCACATAGACATTTGACTGAAGTTTGTAAAATGTGGCCACTAGTCCCTAGTCTTCCACATTAACAGGGGATTGCACAAACCATGGACTATCTAAATGTTCCTTAACATTATTCTTTGTTGGCTTTAGCACGTATGGTCAGTCATGTGTAGCAAAGAATTTGACCTTCTTCCTCAACCTCAAGACCCTTGTTAGGTCATCCTTGACTTTAAGGTTCTAGTTGGAAGATGAATGGACAGCAAGATGAATGAGGTCCCAGATACCAGTGGCTGCCCAGAAGAGCCTGTTGCCAGAAAGAGGTAAAGGGCTGCCATGCATGACCCTTCCCCTTCCATTCCCCCACCCCCACCTACCACAAGGCTTGCAAAAGAGAGTTGGACTTAGTAACCCCACCCCTAGTGGATCCCATCTGCTCTTTGATGAACCACATGAAGTTGCCTCCATCTGACTTTTTTACCTGCCAAAATAGCGGTTTCGTATGGTTCAGCCTAACATATCTGAGAATAAACAAAAAAAATTCTGTAAATGATTGAAGAGCTTGGGAACAACCAACCCAGTTATCAAGGTGACTGATTTCAGGAGAAGGACTGGAATGTGATGATAATTGAATAATCAGCAATCTTGTTGTATTCTGTGGAGAATGCATGAAACAAAGATTAAGAATAAGGCTGGCAAACAGAAAGAGGAAGGAAAAAGAAGTAGGATAAAGCCAGGAGGCTAGAAGTTGGCATTTATTACCTATAACTGTCCAGGAAAGAGCAACATGAAATTGGAGCTCGCACAGTGCCCTGCTGTGAGATGGAGATGACTTGCCAAAGCCCACCCTGCCTTGGATGAAATACTTTCTTAACTCATGAACCAGCCTGCTGATGACTGATTTGTCTCCCTGGGATTGTTGATATCGGGAAAAGGGTGCTCTGGTTGAGGGAGGAGCCATCCAGTTATTGAAGGACTAACACTAACTGTTAATGAATACTTGGGTATCTGATTATATACTTCAGCCTCCTATGAGTTGAATTGCTGGGAGTTAGTCTTCTTTAGGCAGACAAATCTCAGACTTGACTATGAAACAGGTTCAGCTCTATGGTAAACTCATCAAGATAAAACTATCCTGGGTGGCCTCTCTGGGAGCTAGTCAGATGACCCCAGCACAACCAAAACCTTCTGACCCAAATCA